TATCTTCTGAAAGCTTGGAAAACGTATTTATATTATGAACTTACTATAAATTCATCACTTGGCTTCATCATTTCAGTATTCAGTGATCAATTTCTTCACGAAATATTCAAGGATTTTGGTCTTTGCCAGCAGCAAAAAGGCTCATGATGTAGAGCAACTATTCAATGAAAGAAATGATCTAGGAGGACTTCAGAGCAGTAGTGACAGGTTGGGATAAATCTGAAAGTCTTCTGAATACCAGGAGGTCACAAGCCTAAAAGGTTGGGAACCATTAATTTCTCTCTCCCATCAACTAGGCAGAAAACGATTGTACTACTTTCTTTACGAGTTAAACACTGATCACATACCCTGGACAGTGAAACTTCGTATGACATCAGACTGAGGGATAGCCGAGCTGTCCGAGGCATACTTATTGTACAGCTCCATCATGAACTGAGGAGGGTCGATCTTGCTGTGCTCCTGAGGAACATCCGACAGGTTGAGTTTCCTCAAAAATCCCTCCTTCATGGTTCCGAGGAGGTTCTCCATCTTCAAGTCAGTGTCTTCCCCCTCCGACAGCTGAGAGTAAAATCCCTCAGGGTTGTCGCTTTGGATTTCATTATTGAGAGGTTTGCAGGTACAGGAGCCACTAGAGACCACCAGACTCAAACACAACTGCAACAGCATCTTGAAATTATATCCTTTCCGAGCCACTGAGCTGTCACAAACCTCACCTTCTTCCCAGCTTGAAAACAGACTTTGCTGTGGCAGGGTCTGAAAATGGAGATCCCCCATGCAAGACACCACCGTCTTAATGTCCACTCCCATGCTCCCAGTGTAAACAGGGGGACTTGTGTCAACCAAAATAGTAGCTTGGCCATGCTTATCACTGTCATTGATGCCTTCTTTTAAACCTTGTTATCATTAGAGGGCTGGCTGCTAATGAAGACACTGTAAACACTTAAAAGTGATAACGATGGAGGCAATGGAAACTGTGAGGTTACTGACAAGCAGACATTTCCATAAAATGCCTTTTCCCAGCTTGAGGGTTTAAGCTTTGAGGCCACCGGAAACAAAATTGCTTAAAAGAAAACAAAAAGAAACTGAACACTGCATTCTTCATCACCATATTCATCCACCCCGTTTTTTTGCATTCATCCACTGCACATTCTAGACCACACACTTTTAATAAAACCGATAAGGCAGATAATTAATTTGACAGATCCAGAGAGACGTCACAATGTGGAATTTTCATTGTTCTCCCAACATCATCACTTGTGACACCAGTTACACAAACCAGTTTGTCTCCATGGAGTCCGAAGCAGAGCGGACTTGTGCTGAAAGTTCACATTGAACATGAACTTTGACCAGAGCAATGCTGATTGTTGTGAGTGCAGCCAAGCGCTGTGTTGGCCACGGCTTAAACTGAAAATGATGCCGATACAAGGAGAATACAACAACAAACTGACTACACAGAGTTAAAAAAAATTTGGGGTGAAATATAAGCATGTAGATGTAGGTGCCAGGTAGTGTCCCTGAAACAGATAGCAATTTACTGTTGGAAAAAATCACTAAGCGTTCTTGTGCTTCAAAAAGGTTTGGAAGCTGTGATAGAACAGAACATGGTGCCCACTGCAGTGTGCTGTTAGGCATATATGTACTTTAGGTCAGTTATCCACTGAAACAAGAAAATAATATATTTGATACCGAGATGCAAAGTTTATTTCTGCACTTCAAGAGATTTAGTTAGTTTAGTGTCGATTGTGCTCTTGCTGACTGAGGAAATCTTTAAGAGCTGAATAAGTTCTATACAAAGACATGAAGGGTTAGGGTTAGTGACCTTCACCACTATACGGATGACAGGATAGTGGGACTCAACCCTTGGGTTCTGTAAGGGGCTTTAAGTCTGAACCACAAGCCAACGTGTCTGGGGACGTTGGCCTGAGTCGGGTCTTTCTTGGAATTGCTGTTGTTCACGCCACATTTCATAATAAGGCTTTCATGGAGTCAGTCAGTATTTAGTGGCATGAATTCAGCTTATAATGTAGACATGCAGTGTGAGAACAACCAGATTAAAGGTGGACGAAGGAAGATCTGTTGTGAAACTGTGGTGAATTCATTACTGGATAAAGAAAATGTAGTAAAAACCTATTCAACTCATTTTGTTTTGATGTTTGATGACTAAAACAATCTCCGTCCACACAAGCGATTTGGCTTCATATCAGTTTTAAGTTCCGTCCACAGCCTGGTCACACATGCACAGCAAATATTTTGGGTCAAAGTTCACCAAAATTAAACTCCACGCTGTAATTTGCTTTGCCAAAGGAACCAAATGATATATTCGCCTCCATCTTGCACAGATTGCATGTGAATGGGAGGCCACTGAAACATATGCATATGTGTGACTGTGCCCCAACATGCCTGAAAACCCATATCACATGACCGCTCCTGTTCAGTGGGCATGCAACATCCTGTTGTCCTCTTACAAAAGGGGGTCATATGAAAGGCTGGGTTGTTACCCGAAAGGACCCAATCAGCAAGCAGGTTTGAGTGTCTATGTCATCGACCAGATGACATTAAAACTCTCATAATCATGGCACTCGACACGTGTAACTGTCCAAAACCTGTTATTATTTAATAGAAAGAAAAATCAATAGTAGCACAAGATATTGATAAACCATGACTTCAGCCTTAAAGTAAAAAACAGTCATGNATCTGCTCTCTGCTCTTCATCACCGATGCTTTTAAAACTTTCATTTTGAGGCGGTGATCAAGTATCAAACATCATCTAGACAAGAAGAAAAAGATTCAGCTGCTGCTGTTTCCTTGTGTTTGTGTGTCCTCAGTTATCACACAAGTCAATGATCCACTCACTGACCTGACTATCAGACCAGCACTGCTGACACAGTGATTGGATGGTCTCGGAGTGTGTGTGTGTGTGTGTGTGTGTGTGTGTGTGTGTGTTTGCTATCATGATTTTGGTTGAGATTGAGAATATTTATTACCTACAAACTCGCTGTTGTACCCACCAGTATTATGTGGATAATGTAACTTACATTGATATACAGCAGGTAAGATATATGCTGTAATGTAAACATCTGTACACATCTGCCTCTGCTTTATATTGTTTTTTTTCAGTAAAACAAAATAAATTCTATGTATACTTCTATGTATAATTCAGTTTATTTTCCTTATCAAGCACACGTTGTCTGCGGTTTCTGAAAACACACATCACACACAACTACCCCACTACGCTTTTAATACAGTTAGGGTTGTTTACATTTATCCCTTTCTAGTTGCTATGGAAATCTTTGATCAGTACTGTACATAATCCAAACTGTACATTTATTATAATATTAGAAAAACAGATAAGTGGAACTATTGCATATTCACAGGAAGAATTTCAATGTTTGACTTGAAACTGTGTCCCCTTCCTTTTCCCAAAATGCACAGCAGGGGGCAGCAATGCACCATTATTTTCTTATCTTCACTGTATCAGAAACAATGGTTGTGTTGTTAAAACTCTCAGTGACGAAATACTCATTATATACAAGATACATATATATTTCAAACACTCATGCATGAATAACAATCTTTGCTTATATTTAGGGGCGTTCAACCACATCCAAGTGTCACATGGAGTGACACATCACTTTAAGACAGATACCATTTAGTTTGTGTTAGTATCTGCAGTATTTACACGTCAACAGCTGGTTAATGTGTTTCAACCACCTGAGTCTGAGTCATTGCGCAGTCCGTTGATTTGTCCAAACGTCTGTCCTGAATTGGAAAGACACATACTGATGTCTGAAGGCTTCAGTGTTTGATACCCAGATCATCTTCCACTGGGCTCAAATACGAGTCGAAAAGGGTGGTGTAGGTTTCTCAGGCAGGGCTGGAGTCAAGTGGAGTAGATTCCAAAAGCAGGTCCAGAGGTGTCCAGAGGTTTCCAGACTGAGATCAGAGCAAATCAAATCCTCTCCAAGATCAAATATGACTTAATAAATCTTCCCAAAAAAAAAAACTGGCTGAAAAAGCTTTTTAAGAATCTATAGAAATGAACCTGCAGGAGCTCTGTATGAAACCCAATACAAGGAATTATAAACAGGTTTTTAAATGCTCATCTTTGAAGGAGGGAGAAAATAAATGGACTGCATGGAAATTTGTTGCATAAGGAGGAAAAAGCTGAGAAAAAGTCAAACCAGGGTGAACACCAAATCAGTCCAGAGAGCTCAAAGAAACAGACAGTGACTCTGGAACGATGGCTGTCACAGTCCTGTCACTTCAGATCCAGTCTCAGTTTGTGTGTCTCGTCACATCGGTCCATCGATTTTAAAAGCGTCTCCCTGCCTGTTGTGTCCAACATATATCTTCCATCGCTCCAGCCCTACCGACAGGCACAGGTTTCCACAGACATGCCGGGGTAAACCTTGAGAACCAGATTCCTGCTCGGGTCGAGGAAGAGCACGCTGAGGGGACTCATCTTCTCCGGAACGCAGCACGGCTCAGGCACGCCGGGGACGATACCCACAGCCCTGACAATGCTCTGGATGGTGGCGTGATTGGAAGGCCTCACCACCTAGGGAAATAGGACACAGCAAAGGTTTGTTTTTATTAGAGACCACTCTCTGGGATGACACTTGGAATACAAGCGGAAATCTTAAAACATGTATAAATACATAATAAATGTCCATGTGAGCTGTTAGAGTAAAAACATTGAACTTGATCTATCATGCAGCATTTTCAGTTGTATTCACTGCTTCTGCCTTTTGGTTTAAGAATTTTTTATTGACAGATATAATCCTCTAGACTTTCTCTATTTGTTTTTCTACAATTTCTCGCAAATTTTGGCAGTTTGGATCCAGGCATCTCCTGGTATTCCCCTGTAGCTTCTGATTGTAAGGCCAGCACCTTGGTCATTTACCTGTGTGTATGAGTGAATTGAAGTTCCTTTTTACTCACAGTCTAAAGGTCTTTGCACTCTTTGCTCTAAAATGCAATTGTGTTGGTTGTGTCAATCAAATTTATACACTGACACTGAAGCTTCACCCGTCAACAAAGTTTTCAGATCAGTTTCTATTTGCTGCGTTTATCACATCTGTCAAAGGCGTTCCAGAGAGTTGTTTAGCACTTAGAGCCACTGTACTTGCAAACATCACATATGAGAAGCTAATAGATCTCATGTCACAGCATTAAGCACTATTAAACGTGTGGTAACTGTTGTCCCAGTGTTGCAAGTAGCATATAGAACTGGACCAATGACATCCTGAAATAGACTAGGAAATTCTCCTTGTTCCTGGCGGCTTCTCAGAGTTGGACAGACTCGATGCTTCCTTTTTTTCGAGAAGTGACACGACCACAAAATCATCCTCCCTGCTCGACTACATTTTAGCTCCTACAAATTTTTTGATACGTATCACAAAAATACAGATTCAGTATGCAAAAGCCTAAAAGTAAAGGTTTCTCTCAAAAACACAATAAAATACTACAAAATTGTGTACATCACTGCAGAAAAAAATTGGAATTCAGGCCAGAAAGTATTTACTACTGTGGATACACATTGCATTTCGCCATTGTATCTGCAGCAGTCCCACTAAATTAAAATCCTGATGTGAGACGAAAACAATTGGCTGCATGTTGTTTCATCTAAACTCAACCCTGATCTCTAAAGTTTACAGCAGCAGAGGTTTAAAGACGTTATCTGGCTCACTTTAGGGATGGGGAACCCACAGGTCCCGGCGCAGAAGTATGCGTCAAAAGACTTCGGCGCCAAAACCCACTCGCTCCAGCCGATGTCAGCGAAGTCGACCCTGAGGTACCTCCTGGAGCAAACCCTGGGCTCGCTCCACTGCCGCCTCCTTGCCTTTTTCATCGTCCTCTCATCGAAGCTTAGCACCTGTGGCTTACTCAGGCCCTCGTTATTTTCCTGACCCTGCTTCCTTCCTGGTTTGACCGCCACTTTGGCTTTAGCTGGAAAGTACGTGTTCTGCCAAAGTTCATGATTCTTCAAGGAGTTGAACTGAACCTCTGGGATGTCGTTTGTTTGCATCTGGAGATGGAGCTCCCTCCGAATTCTTGAGGTTGAGGCTGTGGAGGACGTGTCATCACCTACAGGGAAAGGCCCGTACCGCTGGAGTGACATGGCCACACTGTTTGGCTCATCTATAGCTCGATCATCAGCATATACAAGAATATACGGCAGATTGGCTGGAGAGAGGCGCTCTTGGCCATGAGGGCTCCTCTGCTGCATGCGAGCCGCCCCAAACTCCATATCAAACTCCACTGTCACCACAAGCTCTTTGACGTCCCTGGCATGTTTCACCACCGCCGTCACGTCCCTCGATTGCCAAGAGCCTTTCTTGAAAGGAGCCAGAGTTATGTTTCCCAGTGGCGCTGCAAAAGCCGAGTTTGGGGATGATCCACGGAAGAGGAGCTGTGGGGAGGAAGGATGGGAATGCTGGAGGCTGCCGGACGGGTGGCGAGGCCGTCGGAAACGCCACGGTCGCTGGTGGTGGCGCTGTCGCTTGTAGAGGAAGTGGAAGGATGCAAAGAGGATGAGCTCGGAGTCTTGGATGGAGGACAGGTCGAACTGGAACACTTCTTTGCCGTGTGAAACACCTGAGGATTTAAAACAAAATGAGAAGAATGAAAAGGATGATAAGCTTATTTTCATCCCGTCTTCTATAATGTCCTTCATGTCTAATAGCTTTGAAAAAAAGGATTCATCTGTGATGTGACACACAGATGTTTTGCTCAACAGATGTTGAAGCTATGGAGGAACATCTGAAATTAAGAATAAAGACAACTGAAGCGATCCAGTTGCTGCCTTGAACCTTCTCTCATCTATTCTTTTTTTCCCCATTTGTCATTCGCTCTGGTGAGTTTGGCTGACAAAACCAACCTCAAATACGTCGTCCACAAAATGTTTCTCAACACTTCTGACTGACACGAGCAGCAGCATGGGAAATATTAAAAGTGCAGCACGGCAAAGTGCCGGCCTCACGCATGACCAAAAACCTCATCCTGGATGGCTATACTCTTGAAGTTGAACCTCGTCTCCCACACTTCCACCGCAGCCTGAAAGACAAACATTGGATCGGTCCAGTAGGTCTGTAGCCGGCATATGGAAATGCTTATAGGAGAGGGAGCTCCTCTGAGGGTTTTCGCTGTGCAGCCGGTGTCTGGGTGTGATAATAGGCTCTTGTCTAACACCTAGGCTACTGCTACCGGGGAACTAACAGTGCTCGACACTTAAAGTCCCTGAGAATCAGTAAATCACAACACCGACAGAGCAAGGTGGGGGGAGATGTTTTTGCCCGAAGGTGATAGAGAGTGTTGCTGTGGGACTGACAAAACACCTGCATTCAGGATGTCCCACAGACATTATACTTCAGGTATTTTTACAAGGAATTATTTTGTGCACACAAGCGACTCGTGAAGTTCAAATGTTTATCTGCCTTTATTTCTGTATTTTCAGTTTGTAAAAGATCATGAACTATGCAACAAAAATAAATAAAATGATGCATTGCAGACAAAACACAAACAGATGACATGAATCTAGAAATTTATGGCCAGTGTCATGAATCAGCCTTAAAAAGTTATAGTTATCTTTTAAAGACAGAATACTATCATGCAGATTCAATTTACTTCCAGACATAAGAAATTGACTTTGATCAATTATCTATTTCTTGTGAAGTTTTAAAATGAAAAGCAACAATATACACAAAAATGTGTGCTTC